TTGCCGTCAGCACCAGCTGCCAGTTCGGTGGGTGCGTTGTAGGCCAGCTGCAGGAAAGGCAGCAGAGCAGCAAAGGAGGACCAGGGGAGTGCGCGGCGTGAGGGAGGGAAGGAGGGATAGATGGAGAGGAGGGCAGCGCCACCTTGGCCGTGCCGCACCCCCCGTGCTTGCTGCGATGCATCCGGTTGCTGCCTGATGCAGAGCACTCTCCAGTTGGTCTGGCGGCAGCATTGCACCCCTTGTATCACTCACATGTGTGTACAGCTTCTCCACACCGCTGAAGCCAGTCGCCCGCTCGTGGTGCTCCTTGATCACTCGGGGCAGCTCCTCGAGCGGCACCACGGGGCACCACCGCCACTCTCCGCTGCGCTTGACGCAGCGGCACAGGATGTCCTGACCGCCAGCGCCCTTCAGCACCTGGAAGAACTGCAGCACCTTCTTGCTGTAGTTCTTGGTGCCGCCCTGCACTGCCGCCCCCCCTCCCGCACCCCGCCGCCGCCGGCCTGAGGGCGCCTGCTGGTCGCCCTGCTTGATCCGGATGATGCCCTCTACATCTGACTTAGTGAGAAACACATTCTTGGCGCCGTTTTGGCGCCGTTCTAAGGCATAAAGGATGACAGGTTGGTTCATAATTTTAAATTTGCGGCAGCTGCGGGGTGCGGGAGGGGAGAAATAGAAGCCTTAGAGACTCTGAAAGGCGAAGGAAAGGGAGGGATCGCGGGAGAGAGCGTGCCTGATGAGCCAGACGAATCGGGGGAGGTGCCACATCAGCGGGCAACACATGGCGTGTGCGTCCATGTTGTGGGTTTGGGGGACCCTATTCGCAGTCGGGGGAGAAGGGCAGAAGTCAATCAAGCACAAAGACAACTCTAGAGGCTTCACGGCGGCAGCGCTGATGTGGCGCCGCCATCCCGCTCGTGCTTTGCCCCTGCCTTCCCCACAAGTGTGTCTGGGCACCAGTCGGGGATGGAGATGCTTTGGGTGGCGTCGTGCCGCTCTCTCAGAATGAAGGGGACCGCCCTGGCGCCGGGTCGACAGCACCGCCCGGTGCCTGCCTGCGGCAGGGCTGCCGCGCTGCCATCCCCGTCAGCTGCCGACCTCGCCCTTGGCGTCAGGCGAGGGCGGCGCGCTCGAGGTGAGCGTTGGCTGCTACTACCGCTTCTTGCGCCCGGCGCCCCGCCTCCACGCCGGGCTCTGTCTGCTGCCCGCTGCAGCCCAGTCCTGCACGTTGTTTCGTGGCGGTGCCTCCTGGGAGTGATCTTGCAGAAAGCCACCGATTTGTTGCCACCGATTTGTTTTGGGGGGGGCCTGGCCCTGGCCCTGGCCCTGGCCCTGAGGATGTCACTGTTGGATCCCTTGGAGTCGACAGAGCTATACTCGAGTGGCCGCTGGTGCATGCAGCGCACATGCTGGCTGCCGAAGCAGTGGGCTATCAAGCTTGCATGGTCCACCAGACGGCCCCGCGGCGCTGGGTATTCCAGCAGGCAGCAGGGGGCAGCCAGCGGGTACCTCTATCTATCCCAACTGCCCTCCAACAAGGAGGTGTTATATGCAGAACTTCATCGAACAAAAAGCAACAATCTATTCTGGCACATCAAATCAGTCTAGCGGCACAGGGGCAGGCAGCAACGGTCAAGTGCCAGGGGGCATTGTAGTGTGCACTGTTCGGTGCGGTCATGCAACGGGGCATCAGCCCTGCATGGCGCGGCGCTGGCGCTTGAAGCCGTGGGATGCCTCCACCGCTGCCTTCGCCTGCTGCACCGCCTCTGCCTCCGGATCGGCCTGCAATGCCGCGTTCAGGGCGTCGTGCGCAGCACACCAGGCATCCGCAGCGCGCTCCCACTCTGCTGCAGCCTTCGCCTGCTGCACCGCCGGCTGGGCCGCCGCGTGTTCCGTGGCTGCTTCGGCAGCCGCCTCATGCCCCACAGCAGCGGAGGCCCAGGCCACGGCAGCAGCCGCAGACGCCTCGGCTGCGGAAGCCCGTGCGTGGGCTGGCCCTGGTGTGGGTTCCTGAGGCGCGGGTGGCCAGGGCCCACTGGGAGGACGGGGCCGCGGTGCAGCCCCAGCCGAACGTGTGCTGCGCTCGGCGCTGGCGGCTTTGTGCTGCGGTGATTGCTGCTTGAGTTCCTTGATTCCTTTCATTATGCTGTCAAACGTTTCCTGGGTCTCCTCCCGAATTTGCCTGCTCTTCATCATCCTAATGTCGCGGAGAATCTGCATTTCCAGCATGGTCTGCGTATGGCGGGACGCTGGGTCAAACAACCGAGCCCAGCATGGACGCTGGGTGCCCTGCATGGCATGCAGTATAGGAGGTGGGTGGCATGCAGCAGCGTAGGCAGGCCCAGCGACCCGCCATACGCACTGCAGAAGCCACACATGGCCTTTCTCACGCTCGAAGGCTTGTGGTCGGGGCGCCGCTCGTGCGCCGCGTCACTGTCACCACTGCTCGGCGCTGCTGCAGAAACGGCCACCAGTCTTAAGCGCCGTGCCGTTGGTGCCAATAAGGGCCGGTCACTGAGTGAGAGCGTGGCCTGGCGAGGTAGCGAGACTGGGCGGGCTGCCATCAGGCCCCGTCCTCTGGAAGCGAGGTTATGTTCAAATCACAGCACCCACAGCCTATGTGCGAGCAAAGAAGAGGAGGAGGAAGAAGAAGATTGACAACTGTGTTTTGGGGGAGATGCGCCGGCAGGCTGGCAGCGCGCCGCAGCGCGTTCAGCCTGCCGGACCCTCCCCACCATTCAGCAGTCTAGCCGGGGTCGACCTGATACTGGAGTTGGGAAAATGGAGGAGTACCGCCAGCTTTGAGACTGTTTGCCAGGGTGTGGGCACACTCTCTAGCTGATGCTACCGCCTTCCCTCCCCAGGTTCTTTTGTGCTCCCTGGCCCCCTGCCCTGGACCGCACCTGCTTGGCTGCCATTAGGAAGCGGGAGCGCTGCGGCAGGCCCGGCGTCCTTGCCGATGTGGAAAGTGAAGCGCTTGCTCCCGCCGCACAATTGAGCAGCCTCCTCGACATGCAGCAGCGGTGCCCCGCCGCATCTGTAACGTTTCCAGCGGCGGCGCCTGCTCGCTGCCTGCTGTGTTCTTTGGGCAGGACTACCAGCGGGTGGTGGTGTGGGTAGACGATGAGGAGGGGGCGGCCGCCAGCAGCCGGCAGGGTGGTGCTGCAGGCGGCGGCGCCGAGCAGCTGGGCGGCGGCGGCAAGGCGGCGCATGCCGCCGCAGCCAAGCTTCGGCGCAGGGCGCTCGTGAAGGAGGAGTAAGGGCGGCAGTGTCGCCTGATGCTTTTGTGTGCCAGTAGTGTTGAAATTTAAGTGGCAGAGCAACCAGGCACGCCGATCGCTTCCTTCAGCCATTGCCAGTGCTGGCCCCAGAGGCATGGGCGAAAAAGAGCGGCGCGACATGGGGCGGCGTCCCGCCTGGCATGGCAGCTGACCACTCAGATCGAGATCTGAGTGCCAACCCGTTCACCCTGGTGCGCTCTCCGTTTGCTGGGTACCGCTCCAGCCCTCTGATCAGAAGAAGAAGCGATGACCTGGTGAGGGATGAGGCGTACCCCCCAGCAGCAGCCTCCGCAGCAGGCGGAGGATGAGGGATCGCTGCCCCACACAGTGGGGCTGCAGGCCTGCACGCCCCTGGACGGCTCGTTGTCGGTGAGTTGCGCGCCCTGGTGCGCGTAGCAGGCGGCCTCACGCTCGCCACTGACGCTCCCTGCCGCGTGATGGCGTGCAGGGAGTGACCCTCCGTGCGGCCAACCTGCTGGCCTGGCACCCCACTCGCCAGCGCCTGCTCACCGCCTCAACCGCTGCGATGGTGGAGTATGATGCTGTGTCGGGGGCGCGCCGCAGCCTGGTGGAGGTGGCAGGCACGCCGCTGCGCGTGTGCTACACACCCAACGGAGCCGCAGTGGTGCTGCTGACCAAGGTGCAGGCGGCAGCGGGCTGACAGCAGGCGGCAGAACAGCGGCGGCCGCTGTTCCGACTCGTTGGCTGCTGTGTTTGTCTACGCGCATCGCTGGGCGCCTTCGCTTTGCGCTGCCCGTCCCCTGGCTCACTGGCCGCCCTGCTTCTGCTTGCCTGTGCCCGGCCGGCAGGAGCGCGGCATCTTGTGCTGGAGCACCGCCAGCTGGAAGCGGCGCGTGCTGCTGGCGCCAGACCCCAAGTATGCGGGCAAGAAGCTGGCGGCGGGCCTGCTGGCGGTGTCAGGGGTGAGGCAGGGAGGTACAGGATGACTCCTGCCTACAGCAGGGAAGAGGGGGAGCCGCATGGCGGCGGCGCTGCCGCCGCTGCCACCGCTGCTGCTGAGCTTGTGCCTGGCCTGCGAGTGCCGGCGCTGAGGCTGCCTGCTCACGTGTTGCTGCCCGGGGCGCCTGCCTGCTGCCTGCTGCAGGGCCAGCACCCGGTTGTGTACTGGACGCCGCTGGGCAAGAACACCGTGCGCATGGCCCACACCGCGCCCCTGGACGTGCCCAAAGGTGGGTCCGCCGGTGCCCCTGCAGCGGCGGCGGGAGCAGCAGCAGCAGCAGCAGCACTTGTCGCCAATGATCGGCGACCTTTGCTGTGCGGTGCGGTGTGGTGCCTGCCACCTGCGGCCCCTCCTGCCTGCCCCTACTGGTGTGCCTGCCTGCCTGCCTGCCTGCCTGCCTGCCTGCCCCGCTCAGGCGGCAAGCTGGACAAGGAGATGGTGCCGGGGGTGAAGCTGAAGACTGAGAACAAGAAGCCGATTGTGGGGCTGGCGTCGCAC